TCTCATCTATGAGTATTTTACCAGTGAACTTAAGATTAATTCATTGTGTCCAGTTACATCTCATCTATGAGTATTTTACCAGTGAACTTAAGATTAATTCATTGTGTCCAGTTACATCTCATCTATGTGTATTTTACCAGTGAACTTAAGATTAATTCACTGTGTCCAGTTACATCTTATCTATGAGTATTTTACCAGTGAACTTAAGATTAATTCATTGTGTCCAGTTACATCTTATCTATGAGTATTTTACCAGTGAACTTAAGATTAATTTACTGTGTCCAGTTACATCTTATCTATGAGTATTTTACCAGTGAGCTTAAGATTAATTCACTGTGTCCAGTTACATCTCATCTATGAGTATTTTACTATGTCTAGTTACATCTTATCTATGAGTATTTTATTGTGACCAGTTACATTTCATCTATGAGTATTTTAATATGTCCAGTAATTCACTGTGTCCAGTTACATCTCATCTATGAGTATTTTAATATGTCCAGTAATTCACTGTGTCCAGTTACATCTCATCTATGAGTATTTTACTATGTCCAGTAATTCACTGTGTCCAGTTACATCTTATTTATGAGTATTTTACTCTGTCCAGTAATTCACTGTGTCCAGTTACATCTCATCTATGAGTATTTTACTCTGTCCAATAATTCACTGTGTCCAGTTACATCTTATTTATGAGTATTTTAATATGTCCAGTAATTCACTGTGTCCAGTTACATCTCATCTATGAGTATTTTACTCTGTCCCTCTAATAATACTAACTTACCTATAAGCTTACCAGTCTAATAGCATCTCTGATAATACTAACTTACCTATAAGCTTACCTGTCTAATAGCATCTCTGATAATACTAACTTACTTACAAGCTTACCTGTCTAATAGCATCTCTGATAATACTAACTAACCTATAAGCTTACCTGTCTAATAGCATCTCTGATAATACTAACTTACCTATAAGCTTACCTGTCTAATAGCATCTCTGATAATACTAACTTACCTATAAGCTTACCTGTCTAATAGCATCTCTGATAATACTAACTTACCTATAAGCTTACCTGTCTAATAGCATCTCTGATAATACTAACTTACCTATAAGCTTACCTGTCTAATAGCATCTCTGATAATACTAACTTACCTATAAGCTTACCTGTCTAATAGCATCTCTGATAATACTAACTTATCTATAAGCTTACCTGTCTAATAGCATCTCTGACTTTCTCCAAGTTCATATTTCGAGACTCCTCAAGTATTGTCTTTTCATCTAAAGCCAATATGTTGGCTCTTCTTCTACATAATTCCACCATCACTATGTCTGGCTGGGTGGCAATAATAGTCTGAAATATTTGAAACAATTATCGATCTGTAGTCAAGAAACTTCCAAGTCCTATGAATTAGACAATTTTTTGCAAATAATTTTGAAAATTTTTAAGAATTCTTACATGTTAGAAAGCCCAAAACTTTATTAACACATTCAGTTAATTCATAACACACAAAAATAAACACATTTCTTAACTTTAAATTAACATTCGTAAACTGTGAAACTTGTAATCACACTAGGCTAATAGTTCAGTGCTAAAGAAGCTTCTTATCTCCATAAACCCAAAAAGTGTTAGTTTTGTTACAAGTACAAGCTACATTAATGGTTCTATGGTGATAGTACATGTTGAAAGTTACAAAAGATGTTCAAGAAGAAAGGATTTTGAAGAAAAAGTCTTGAAGAAGAGCTACACTGCATTCCCATTTGGTAAAATACTCATAGATAAGATGTAACTGGACACAGTGAATTACTGGACAGAGTAAAATACTCATAAATAAGATGTAACTGGACACAGTGAATTACTGGACAGAGTAAAATACTCATAGATGAGATGTAACTGGACACAGTGAATTACTATGCTATTAGACAGGTAAGCTTA